TAAAACATTTTAATGATGTTTTGTAATCTCCATATGTTATATCTATTGCTAGATCTATTTTCCTGAGCACCTGAAATATTAATGTTAACCATTAAAAAATTGAATTCTAAACATTTTCTGCAGTGATGAGGAAATTCAACTAATATTCAGATTAAATATCAATCTATAATTAGCATCTCTGACAAACTTTATTTATTCTCATAATTTTTCATTTTACTTTTTTATGAGTTGATCACTTATATTTTTAAATGTTATTTTGTTTTTGTTTTTCTTTCCTCTTGCTAGCTGCATCCTCCAATCTATTTTTATCAAAATTTGTAACATTATGCATCACTGCCTTTTACATATCTTAATGTAAATATCACTAATATATTTCAATCTTAAAAAGAAATTGAAAGTATGTTTGAGCCTCCGAATTCAATCTGTCTGGTTTACACTGCGCCATTATTGACATAAGGAAGAAAGGGGATGGTGAGGTGTGTCACACACAAAAAATTTGCAATGATAAATTTTTGGAACAAACATCCAAAAAACTAGATTGTAAACCTTAACCATTAAATTGAAAAGAACACTTATCTTTCAAGGTCACTGTCCAGTATTTTTGAAAACATCTTCATTTCACGAGTTAAACCACAAATTTGTAATGCTGATGCTAGCACCTTTGAGACACACTCACCATTCAAAGTGAATGCCCAATGTGCCTCCTTATCAAAAATCTTTAGTGAATTGTTTTTAGCGTAAATGAAACAGAACACGGAGCAATAATTAATGATGAGATACGTACTATAAACATTGATTACCCTGAGAGAAAAATGATGAGTATGTAATCAAGATATGAGGATTCCTCCCAAATGATATTTATTTTAGTGCAGGAATTTTCAGATGATTTGCTGCAGCACACTAGTGTCCTGTAAGATTTTTTTTTCTTTTCTTAATTAATTAATTTATTTTTGTTACAGATGTTTCTCCTTTTCCCCCACTGATTCCCCCCCCTCCTTCCTCCTCACCCTGTCCCCACCTTGTTGTCCATGTCCATTGTTCATGCATACATGCACATAAGTTCTGTGGTTTATCTCTCCCCGACCACCCCCTCTTCTGGGGATTGTCAGTCTGTACCCCACTTCCACGTCTCTGGGACTACCCCATTCCTCAGATTGTTATGTTCATTATATTCCACAAATAAGTGAGATCTCTGTTTGGCTTGTTTCGCATAGGATGATACTTTCTAGGTCCCTCCATGTTCTCAAAAAATAAGAGATCTTTCTTTCTTACAGCTGCATAGTACTCCACTGTGTATATGTAGCACAGCTTTTTTATCCACATAGCTTCTATTTACTCAGCCTCAGTTTTTCACATCCTCTATGCCTATCTTTTGTGCAGCTGGGTCACACAGGCCTTCCTGGTGCCCCAGAACCCTGCAGGTCCCTCGGGTAACTAGATTGCACGGTCCCTCTTGGGACCCGGCTCTATGCCTATGTAATGGACTGCTGGGTTGCACAGGCTTCTCTGATGTTTCAGCACCCCGCAGGTCCTGGGGGTAACTAGATCTTACAGTCTCTGCTGGGTCACACAGGCCTCTCTGGTGCTTCCAGCACCTCGCAGGTCCTGCTGGTAATTGGATGGCACAGTCCCTGCTTGGTCGTGCAGGCCTCTCTGGTGCTGCAGCACCCCACAGGTCCTGGGGGTAACTAGATTGCAAAGTCCCTGTTGGGTCGCACAGGCCTCTCTTGTGCCCCTGCACCCTGCAGGTCCCACTGGAGGGCAGCTGGATCGCACCAGTGTCTCTGGGGCTCCAGCTTCCCACTGCTCTTGTCTCCTGTAAAGTATTTTAAAGCATGCGATACCTAACTATTTAGTCAGGGGCACTGACCTCTTTTCCCTTAAATGGTCAAATAAACAACGACAACAACAACCAACACAACTATAGTTGACTAGTGTGAATAAATCAAAATTATGCCTATTTTTTCCTCAGATAAACAAAATATTTATTTTTTGGTGTGCTGCAGAATTTTAGTAATCATTTTATGGGTGCCATGAGATATAAAGAATTGAAAATTGCTGTTTTAGCGTAACAAATCTCTTTGAATTCTTATTCTTTACATGGGGGGTAATATAGGACTCACTATCAGAGTGTTCTCTAAGTATGTTATTTCTTAAATCTCCAGAGAAATTAATAGACATTGCAGTTATTAAACAAATCAACATATTATTCATTCTTTTGTATAAAAAAAGCACCTACATGTTCATTTTGGCAAAGAAAATTATGAAATAAAGAACTCACTTACCCTTCATCCTTGTTTAAATTGTCTTACATGAATTAGTCTTCTTACCTTAAATGAAGTTATTAGAGTATAATAGTAACATCCTGAGATCAAATTTACATAAATGATATACATAAAAATGCTCAAAATTGGAAAAGTGATGAATCATAAATCATTTAATTTGTGAAGCTAACTTAAAGATTTTTATATTTAAATTTTAAAGTATAATCAATTATATTTGTTCATCTGTTCATTTACTCACAAATTTATTAAATGCCTAAAATATGACAGGCATTGTTCTATCAACTTGGTCAATAATTATAAAAGATTGTGTTCTAAATTTTTTATTACCTAATTTAGAAAGAGAAAGATAGAAACAAGGAACTAAAAATGACAAATTCCATTATTAATATGTACTGTTGATACAATTGAGGAGATATATATTTATCATTAACTATGTCATTCTATGTTACACATTGAGTCTTTTAATAATATTTAAATTACAGAGTATGCAAGAATTTTATTCAATAAAATTACCATATATAGAAATCTAAATCAATAAGAAAATTAGTATGTTTTCAGGTAATTCAGTGATTAACAAAGATATTTAGCACATTTACAAATATGTTTTCAAACTCGTTTTAAAGTTTATCTCTTATGCACCTTCTCTGAAAGTCAGTATCTGCATTACCTCAAAAGATAATCAAAGGAAAGACACAATAAATAGATGATAGATAGATAGATAGATGATAGATAGATAGATAGATAGATAGATAGATAGATAGATAGATAGATGATAGATAGGAGTCACACAGATGTCAATAAATCTTTAGTACCTTTCATGCAGTTCAGTATTTATAAGAATAAAAACTCTACCTGTACTGACGATTGGAAGACTATACTTAGTAGAATATATGCACATATACAGATATGTGTGTATTGCATCTATATATGTGTATATGTGTATTATAACAACTATGCACATAAAAATTTCTAAGCAACTGAGATAAATTGTACTACACAGGGAAATTAAGTAGTGGGTCTTGCTGCTTTCTGATGAAGACTATGCTCAGTTCTTTCTCTTCCTAAGAATTTTCCCATTGGAAAGTCATTTAATATCATTGTCTTGCTTTATTTATCTACAAAATACATAAAATAATAATGCCTTTCATAAAGACTAGTGCAGAAAATTAATTGAGAATTTAAATAGAAAAGGTTAATATGGAACACAATGCAGTATAAGTTCTCCCCGCCAATACTTTCTCCTCGTACTGGGACTCCAAATGTGCTTTATTCACCTTGTTTCATTTGGGTCTTTAGGTATGAAAAACCTGTGTTATCATCCCTTCTAGGATAAGAGTCACAGACAATAACTGCAATAAACCAACATCATTTCAAAATCACAAAAAAAAAAAACAAATCAATTTTCTTCTTCTTAGTGTTAATTAAGTTAGTACTTTATCTCATTAATTACACTCAAAAACAGAGTAGATTGAAGATTAAACGGACTCAGACCATCACTGCACTGTCCCACTCCCGCCCCTAATCCCCCCTCCCCCAAACAAACACACACACACACACACACACACACACTTGAGTAAAGGGAAGAATAGTAATGTGTAGTGGGATATGACCCATTTGAAATAGCCTAAAAAACCAAAGAGAGAGGCAATGTAAATAGCCAATTGATATAGCTTTTACATTGCAAAAGACTTTAAGTTGATACAGAGACAGGAACCACTTCATGATGCAACATTTAGTGCCACATAACTGCATGTGAATATATGTTTTCTCTTTTGAGACATAGTTTCTGCCTTTAGAGGATTAACTCCACAATTAAACCCTATAATCTATTCCCCATGGTTACCCAGTTTTCTTCCAGGAAAACAAAATAAAAGTGCAGCAACATGTGTTTACTCAGAAGGACTCTCAAAAATTTACCACTAGGTAATTGAAGTATCCACTGCATTTCATTTCATTTACAAAGTGAAAATTTTTTTTCACTTGTAAGCTCCAATTGAGAACCCCTAATTAAAAAGAAAATAGTCTACTGAGTAAGACACCAGAGAAGAAGCACATAAGTATTTGATGCTGTTATTGACTGCTGTGGACAGGTACTGGGTCTGCTACTACAGTATATTAATTTGATAGTGTACTTTGTAATGAGAACAATTATTTGGTTCACTTTTAAAACAATACAAAAACATTCCATAAAATATGACAGATGTCAAACTATTGGTTATTTGAAATGATCACTGTTTTTGTTGCTTGAGGTACAAAAAAAATTTCTGGGAGGCAATGCATGAACTTTGGAGTTGAAGAATAAACAGATTGGCTTGAGAAATAAGCAATGTATTTGTGTTAAATGCATATATAACTCTCAGAGATTGGGAGATAGTCCAGCAGGAATAATTGCATGCTTTGCATTTGGGGTATGGGCTGGTGGGTGATAATCTGTGTCACTTGTAGAAACTGAAGTGAAGAATATGGATTGAGACCAGTAATTTGGGGGACCTAAAACCAGACTTATTAAGGTCACTTGCTTCATAATTTCAAACGAGTCTCCATTGCTCCACTAATTTTCCTCTTTCCTCGGTCACTCTATTTAGTATGCTGTATTAATTTAGGGAGTTTTTGTTCTCCATGTGAGAATAATTAACATTTCTCTTATTTCCTGTAATGTTTACAGATGAACATATCTACATGAATACAAGTATAAGCAAACTATATTGATAATACATGACCCAAAGAAATTATACTTTGGTGACTGAGTTCATCCTGCTGGGATTAGTAGACACTCTGGAACTAGAGATTATCCTGTTTTCGCTCTTTTTTGTGATTTACACTCTGACAGTTTTGGGGAATGTTGGGATGATCCTCTTAATCAGGGCTGATTCTCGACTTCACACACCCATGTATTTCTTCCTGGCTAACCTGTCCTTTGTGGACGTTTGTTATTCGTCCACCATCACCCCAAAGATGCTGGTGGACTTACTGTCAGAAGAGAAAACCATCTCCTTTGCTGGCTGCTTTCTGCAGATGTACTTTTTTATCGCCTTTGCCACAGTTGAATGCATCCTCTTTGGGTTAATGGCCTATGACCGTTATGTGGCCATATGCAACCCTCTGCTTTACCCCTTGGTCATGTCCAGGACAGTCTGCCTTAAAATGGGAGCAGGCGCTTTTACAGCCGGACTCTTGAACTCCATGGTGAACACAAGTTACATAAGCAGCCTGCCATTCTGCAGTTCCAATGTCATCCACCACTTCTTCTGTGACAACCCTCCAATTTTTAAACTCTCATGTTCTGACACACGCCTGAACGAAAGTATCCTTTCCACTTTTGCTGGAGTGAATATGGTTGGAACTCTGCTGGTGATCCTCACTTCCTACACTTACATTCTCTCCTCCATTTTTCGTATGCATTCAGGGGAGGGGAGGCACAAAGCTTTCTCCACCTGTGCCTCTCACCTGACAGCTATTATTCTGTTCTATTCCACCGCCATCTATATTTATCTGAGACCTAGTTCTAGCTACTCCCTGGATCAGGACAAAGTGGCTTCTGTGTTCTACACAGTGGTGATCCCCATGTTGAACCCTCTGATCTATAGCCTCAGGAATAAGGAAGTAAAGAAGGCTTTATGGAATGTAATTACCAGGAAAGGGATTCCTTCATTTCCAAGATTGTGTGGTTAATTTGCTGAAATAAATAGAATATTTTATACCCCTTCAAAGGCTGGGCAAAGCTGCAGTTTTTCATTAGAATATTTTTTAAATAATCATGTTTTGTAATACTCAAATATATGTACTTTATAAGGGAAGCCACCTTAAATTTACCTAAGGATAAGTAAATACCATGCTTATATAAAATTATGGACCCTCCTCTAATCTATTCTGTATCTTGACTGGATCATCAAAAATAAGGCCTGTTTGTCATAAAATCTTGCCTAGGGAAAGACAGCAAAGACTGTTTAGTAACAAAAATCATAATAGCACATGAAACAAACCATGGAAAATATTTGTAATTATGCATATATTTTTTCTCTATACATTTTATTCACCACTCATGATTTATAATAATTGCTATATATCATTTATAGCAAAGACGTTTTAACTCTAAAATATTTTCATTTCATATATTGAAGTATTTCCTGGTAGGTTGTTTCAGAACTGTAGTTTAATTACATCTGCAAAGAGATCAGCTTTTATTTTCCTTAACTCACTAAAGAATAAGTGTGAGTTTGTGCTAAAGTGAGCCATCAAGAATATTGCTATCTCAATAGAATGCACAATTACAGCTCTCGTATGCCCTCCTTTTCTTAAAAATGTCCAGCCCTTTTCTTTCTGTTTCTCTCATGGGTCTGACACATGCACACAAAGCCACATACACACAGGTTCAGCTGCAGCAAAGCACTTAATCAGTGCACGATTCCAAAGGAGATAGATGGACATTCAGTGCAGAAATATGACACATAGACTCACAAATTTCCTGCTCATTGAAATCTCCTATCCTCTGCCAATAAAATCAATAGAAATTAATACTAAAGCTAAGCAAATGAAAGGGCCAACCTCCAGTTATAAAATGCATTAAGTCAATGCGAGGTATATACAGCATGGTGACTAGAGTTAGTAGGACTATGTTGCATACTTGAAAGTTTCAATGATAATAGATCGTAAAACTCCTCATCACAGAAAAACTTTTAGTAAGTATACATAATGATGGCTGATAGCTAGTCTCACTGTGGTAATTTCACAGTGTATACAAATATTGATTCATTATATTCTACAACTGAAACTAAATAATGTGATATGTCAGTCACACCTCAGTTATAACAAATGTTAATAAGTTAAGCATTATTAATATGAAGTTAGACAGGAAGTTCGGTTGGTAGAACTCTGGAGGAAAATGAGATCAGGGCTTGCTGAAAGAGACAGGCACTCTTACAATTTGGGGAGGAAAATTCTTCAAGAAACTTCCCTTGCCCTTACTTCTGAAGAGACACCAGATTAAAGAGTTGATGTTGAAGTCATCTGAGGTGTGGCATTACACCGGTCACTAGCAGGTAACCCTGCTCAACCATCCAGTGCCTCGGTGGTCCACATAGGTGACATTGGCCAGATGGAGGTTCATGAAGGCATCAGTGCTCTCTGTGCACCCAGGGGCCGGGCTCTCAACCCACATCAGTTACCTTGCCCTGGAGGCCTGCAGCGGAAGGATCAGGCTGCTCTCAAAGGTGCTCACTCTTTCACTGAGTAGCTCAGCTGCTTTATTCTGCACCACCTGGCTGTTGTTGGCTGGATTCCGTCCACGTTTTTTGTCCTGGGCATTTAATGAATCGTATATGGAACCAACATGCTTCACCAGGAAATACTAATATTATATTCTTTGAAATAAATGTTTTAATTTTCAGGAAAACAGAAACAGGAACAACGTTGGGAAGTTGAAACTGGGTTATTCTGAGGTTTGGGTTTTCAGACACATATTTACACATGACATGTTGTCTGTCTTCGTTCTAGTACAGCTCTCCTACATGTGACTAACCTTGTTTGCAATACCCACATTTTCTACATTGGGGACTTTTATTAGCAGTTTATAATATTGGTATTTTATTTAATTCATTGAATATTTGCTTATGTACATTTTGATTATTTCTTTATTTCATTTTTTTCTGGAAATTTAAAATGCTTCATTTATTTTTTATAATTCTCTCCATGTTTGGATGTTTCTGACATCAACACTAGCCATATTTAATTTTTAAATATGATTTTATTGATTTTTAGAGAGAGAGGAAAGAATAGAGGGAAAGAAACATCGATGTGAGAGAGAACATTAATCTATTGCCTCTTGCATTCTCCCTATTGGGATCTAGCCCTCAACCTGGGCATGTGCCCAGATCCTGACCTGCAATTAATCTGGGACTTCTCAGTCCATGGGATATACTCAATCCACTGAGCTACACCAGTCAGGCTCTTGTAGATTTTTAAAATAAAATTTTCTTGCTTATTGTTCAATGCATTCATATAAAAAACATTCCAAATATTGTATACATAACTTAAAAAATAACAAATTGACAAAAACTTTGAGGCTTCTAATCATTACACTGAATATGATTTTATTATTCTTTGTTTCTTTAGACCTAATAATGTATATTAGACCCTCCTCTATGAATGTAAATTGTTTTGCCTTTTGCTATACTATTTCCTTTATGTTCTAATTTTTCGGGATTTTATTTCATTCAAATATTTAATATTACCTCAACTTCAATATACAAACATCAATCAATGTTCTGATTCATTCAAAGTTGATTAACTAATGTATTAAATCTAATGAAAGAAATTTAAAATTTTTTTGGTAAATATTTTCATTAGTGATTACATAAGACTAAATAGAGACTAATTATAAAACTTGTGAATGTCATAGTCAGACAAGTCAGCCAACAAGATGGAAGGACTGCAAGAGTGAATAATTCACAATGGTAGAAATCCAAACAAATATGCAATAAAACATAATGTTATTAATAGATGGAATCCTGTATCACATATTTGTATATACTGACGCTGTAGGAAAGGGTTAACTCAGTCAGCCTGGGCTGCCCAAACTGTACATATTCCAAAGGTTTTCCACTCTGGACCTTGACTGGCTCCTAACAGAAAACCTCTGAAACCTTAGAATATTCTACCTGATAAGAGCATCTTTGTATCCTGGGCCCCAAGGCTAACAATTTATGCTAATGATGTGATTTATGTTGAATGGCACTTTTGGTATCCCTGGGGCTTTGGGCTAGGTGGTATCAGTGTGAACTCCGGGTGGGGCAGTTGGAGACCAAGGAACCGAAGACATTTATGTGAGCCCTCCTCGTCTATGTACTGATCCTCAGTAAAACCCTGGACACCAAAACATGGTTAAGCATTTCTGGTTGGTGACACTTCATCCGAGTTGTCAGACAGCATCACAGGGAACATTAACTGCTGTGTGTGATTTTACTGGGACAGGACCCATGAAAGCTGATGCCTGTTTTCTACTGGACACCGTCCTATACATCTTTTTCCTTTGCTAATTTTAACCTATTTCTTGAGCTGTAATAAATCATAACCATTCACATGCAGGCTCTTCTGAGCTTTGTGAGTCCTAGTCAATCATTGAAGATGATGGTGATCTGGGAAATCTCAAACACAAGCACTAACTTCAAAACATTTTGTATGTTAACTTTATTATTACATTATGTAAAATATAAAATTTCAGTTTTTTGGAAAATATAATATAAATAAGTAAATTAGGAAACAAGGTAAATGAACACAAATAAACTGACTACCCAAAATAAATGAAAGAACTAAGAACTGCCATAATTGAAACTTCTCTGTGATCGCTCCATTACCCTGTGTCCTTCATGGTGATGACCACTCTTTTGTATTTTCATTATTCCTTACCTTTCATTTTAAAACAGAATCATCTATATCCCCAAAACTTTATTTTTAAATGAGAATATAATGCCATACACAGTTTGCCTTCTCTGTTGTTTGTGTCTTTCTTCAATATTGTTTCTAACATTCTACTGTGGTCTTCATATTTCTGCACTCTAATTTTGTAGTACTTTTTTCTTTAATATGACTGATTGTCTGTTACCTTCTATCATGACCAATGGTGACATGAATGTGACTTTACATGTCACTCACTGTACAACTGCAAGAATTCATCAGGCATGTCTCTGGAGGTGGCACAGCTTGGATGTCGGGTTTATGTATGCTCAGCTTTAAGATATAACAAACTGTTTCCTCAATTCTTGTTTCTCACAAACAGCACATAAGGCTTCAGGTTGCATATCCTTGCTAGCTCTTGTTCTATTCTGACATTTATTTATTTTTTATCCTCACCTGAGGACATTTTTGCATTTATATTCAGATAGAGTGGGAGGGAAAAAGAGGAGCAGAGAGAGAGAGAAACATCGATGTGAGAAAGACACATGGACTGCTTGCCACCCACAGGATCCCAACCGGGGCGGCGGACAAACTGCAACCGAGGTACATGCCCTGAGCGGGAACAGAACCTGGACTCTCTGGTCCAGGGGCCGACACTTTAACTGCTGAGCTAAACTGGCCAGGGCTATTCTGATATTTAACTTCTTTTCCTAATATACTTAAAATTACAGATATTTAAACATTTAGCACATCTAAGATTATTTTTTTGTCCACTGTATTAGGTAGAGAGCATTCCTTTTTTGAAAAATGACAGCTTATTTGATCCCAATGCTTATTTTTCAATATACGTCCTCCATTCATCTTGAATGACACCCTATATGATATTGTAAATTTTCATGAATGTGTAGACTTCTCTAGGCTCTATTCATCAGTCAATGTTACACTGTTTTCTTTGCTAAGCTTTCCTTTATATAATGACATTAATCAGTACTAGATATTTCTTCAGAAATGTCTTGGTCTTTTTGCTCTGTGTCAATACACGTAACTCCCAATTACTACATATAGATGTGAAGGTTGGACAGTGAAGAGGGCTGATAGGAAAACAATCGATTCATTAGAGACAGGGCTTCCAAGGAGAGCTCCATGGATCACATGGGCCTCCAGGAA